TGGTGTCTTCAGTATCTTTTATATGTAAGATCATATAGTCTGAAAATAGGAATACTTTGGCTTCTTTCTCTTCTATTTGTATCCCCTTTATTTCCTTTTCTGAGTGCTTTAGCTAAGACTTCAGGCATTGCATTAAATAGCTGTGGAGAGAATGGACATTTTTTATTTGTATTCCATATTCCATCTTAGTGGAAGTACTTTAAGGTTTTGTTTTTCCATTTAGCCTTATACTGGCTCTGGGCTTGTTGTATATTCCCCTTATTGTGTTGAGATATGTTTCTTCTATTTGTTTTTCCTGGCTTTTATCATAAGGGATGTTGCCTTTTCTATATCTCTTGAAATGATCATGGGGTTTCTGTCCTTGGCATCCATTTATGTGATGAATTGCATGTATCAGTTATTGAATGTTGACATATTCCCTCCATGTCTTCAATGAAGGCAACTTGATCATGATAAATGTGTTCTTGAATTTGGTTTGCATTCATATTCATCAGAAACATTGATCTGTAACTTTCTGTTCTGTTTTTACAGTTTTTTTTTTTTTTTTTAAATCAGGATAATAGTGGCTTAGTAGAAAGAATTTAAAATCATTCTTTCTCTGTTTTATGGAATAATATGAGAAATACTGGTGCTAATTCTTTGAAAGTCTGGTAAAATTCTGCAGTAAATTCATCTGAATGAATTTTTGTGTCTTTTATAAAATTGCTGTTTAAGTTTCGTTGTTTGTTATAGATCAGTTTAAACTATTATTATTTGAATTATTTATTATATTATTTAACTTCAGAAGATTATAGTCATTTAGAAATTATATATTCTGTGTAAGTTTTTTAAGTTATATCCTTATGATTTTCTGAATTTCATTGGTAACTTTAATGTCTCCTCTATTTTATTAATTTAGGTCTTCTCTCTTTTGGTTATTTTAGGATTGGTCAATTTTGTTGATATTTTCAAAGACCCAGCTCTCTGTTTCATTTATTCTTTATTTTGTTTTTTGCACATCTCTTTCCTTTTTCTACTTTTATTTTTATTAGCTTACAAAGAATTGGGTTTTTTTGTGACATTTTTCAAATAAATTTTGTTTTCGATTTTTCTCTTCCCCTCATTCCTACCCCTCAGTAGCCTTCACACTTTGGTGTCACATGTGACTTTGTCACCCACTTCTCAACACCTCTTGTTTTCCTCTCATGGCCTCCTTTCTAGTTTTATAGTCTGTACTCATTTACAACCTCTTATTTACATGCATACAGATGTTAAAAGATAAGATCCATATATGAGAGGGATCATGCATATTTTTTGTTTTTCTGAGACTGAGTTATCTCACTTAATATACTTTACAGTTCTGTCCATTTTCCTACAAATTTCATTTTTCTTAACAGATAAATAAAATATATACCACATATTCATTATCCACTTTTCTGTTGAGAGACAGCTAGGCTGACTTCATTTATTAGCTATTGTAAATACGGCTGCAATAAACAAGAATGTTCAAGTAACTTGATAGTAGGGCATAGAGCCCTCTAGGTATGTACCAAGGAGCATTATAGCTGAGTCATACGGTAGTTCTGGTCTTCTTTTTTTTTTTTTTGAGAACCAGTGACACTCTAATTTTCATAGTGGGAATTAAATAGGTGCACTAGTTACACCAACAGTGAATAAGAGTTTCTTTTTCCCTACTGCCTTACCAACACTTGTTATCATTTGTTTTCTTGACATTAAGCTGTGTTCAATTTTCATTTCCCTGACAGTTGAGGATGCTAACATTTAAGAAAATATTTATTGGTCACACGTGATTTTCTTTTGACATCTGTCTGTTTATCTTGTTAACCCATTTATTGATAGGCAATTTTGTAGTTTTGGTGTTTTTTTTTGTTTGTTTGTTTGTTTTGTATTTTGGTGTATATTCGGCATGTCAGAGGTACAGCTTCCAAAGATTCTCTTCCATTTTATGAGCTATGTGTTTTCTCTGTTAATAGTTTGCCTTGCTGTGCAGAAACTATTTTTATGTAGTGCCATTTTTTATTCTTCACACCATATTTTATATTATTGGAGTCCTTTTAAGAAAAATCCTTGGCTGGGCTGGAGAGATGACTCAGTGCTTAAGAGCACTGACTATGCTGGGTATGGTGGCACACACCTTTAATCCCAGCACTCGGAAGGCAGAAGCAGGAGGATCTCTGGTCTACATAGTGAGTTCCAGGTTGGGGCTAGAGGGAGACCCTGTCTCAAAAAGACAAAAAAAAAAACAAAACAAAGAAGAGCACTTACTACACTTGCAGAGGACCCGGGTTCTGTTCTCAGCACCCACATGGAGGCTAACAACCATCTGTAACTCCATTTCCATGGAATCCGGTGCCCTCTTCTGGCCTCCTGGTGGGCATTGCTGGATGTGGTGTACACTTATATACATGCAGGCAAAACTCTGAGACACATAAGACAAAATTCTTTTAAAAAAAGAAAGTCATTGGGGCTAGAGAGATGGCTCAGCAGTTAAGAGCACTGGCTGCTGTTGCAGACAACCCAGTTTCAGTTCCCAGCGCCCACATAATATCTTAACAACCGTCTATAACTCCAGTTCCAGAGGATCTGATGCCCTATTCTGCCCTCCATGGGCATTGTATGACATGAGTGCACTTACATACATGCAGACAATATGCTCATGCACATAAAATAAAAATAATAAAACATTTTTTTTAAAAGAAAGTCTGGGTTGGTGAATGTGCTGTCTTTTTTTTCACTCTTTGTTCTCAATAACGTTTGTCAAAAAGGTGGCCATATTGGTGTAGGTAATTTCTGGATCCTTTATCCTAGTCCATTAATTTACATCAATTTTTGTGCTTCTACCATTCTGTTCTTACCACTCTGTAATCTAATTTGAACTCAGGTATTGTGATACCTCCAGCAGAGTTCTTTCTACTAGGTATTGCTTTGGCTGCGTGTGGTCTTCTGTGTTTCTATATGAATTTCTGGATTTTTTTTTTTTTTATGTTTATGAGTGTGTATTGCCTACATGTAGGTAGGTGCACCCAAGTCATACAATGCCCTCAGAGGCCAGAAGAGGGCATCAGTTGCTGAACCATCTCTCCAGCCCCATAACATTGGAATTTTGATGATGATTGCATTGACTCTGTAGATTACTTTTGGTAATATGGCCATTTCCACAATATTGATTCTGTCAATCTAGGAGCATGGAAGGTCTTTCCATTGTCATCTAGTATCTTTAATTTCTTTTCTCAGTGTCTTAAAACACTTTAATCATATAGTTAGTTCTTTCATATTCTTGGTGAAATTTATTTGTAGATACTCTGTTTTGGTGGAACTATTTTGAAAGGGATGTTTTTCCTAATATCTTTCTCAGTAAGTTCTTTATTGATGTATATGAAGTCTATTGATTTTTATATGTTGATTTTTGTATCCTGTAACTTTACTGAAAATGTTTACTGAATATAAGTTTTCTTCTGATAGGATCTGTAGCATCTCTTAAGTAAAAATTCATACTATCTGCAAGTAGGGATAAGTTCCCTGTTCCTATTTTTCTCTTTTTTTTTATCTCTTTTAAAATCTTTTATTTATTTTGTGTTATTTTATTTTATTTTTAGATGTTTTAGTCCTTTATTGACAGTGTGCATATTCTCTGAATATCACTTACAGGACTGACAATAAATACTTGCAACATTTTATCTGTTTACATAAATTGTGTTATAAATGTATCCCTACTTTTATAATTGACATGAAATTCAGAGAAATTACAGAATTAAAATTCTTTTTCTAAAAATTTTTCTTCATAGATTGAACTAAATTACAAATTTTCTACAAATGTATAAGCTTTAATGTCCTTTACAATAGAATATTCTTTTTTTTACTGATTTTTTTTTTGTATGTGTATTTCATACAGAGCATCCCAAACAGTCTTATTCATCTTTATACCCGTATCCCAAATGGCACCCTCCCATAGCTTCCCCCGCCACTGGAGCCATATACTCAGTCATCCCTGTCACTGCCCACTGTGTTGTCAGCACCCCCAGCTGTTCTCCAGTGCAAGTCCATCTGTTGAGTCTAGTCAGCCTATCTCCAGCCCCTTGCTCCTCCCAAGCCCATGTGACTCCTGAAGAACAGATCTTCAAATGACCTTAAGAGTGAAAATAAATTCATGTATTTGGGCCAACTATATGGTCTTAAACACCCTTTCACCTTAAAAGGAAAGTATAACCAAAGATTAAAATGATCAGTATGTTTCTTTAATAGTCCATGTGTGTAGCTAAAGGCTGCACAAGAAACAATTCCAGACAGGAGTTACCTTCCTTTGAGTTGTTGGCCAGGGTGGCCCAATGGACTCCCAGAAAGTAACCCAGCATAGAACTGGGAAAATGAACAGCAGAACCCAATCTTATCCAAAGGGATGTTGGCATCTGATTGCTGCTAGATGAAGAGCTGAGCTTCCTTTTAAAATCTTTTATCCCTTTTAAAATCTGACAAGGATTCAATATTCAACAATATTGAATAAGAATGGAGTTAGTGTATTTGTCATACACACACATATATGTATGTATATATATATATATATGGCCAACATACTGAAGGGGGAAAACATGAAAACATTTCCTGTGAAATCTAGAATGAGCCACATTCCCTGACTTCACAGACTAACTTAGGCTGCCCTGTACAGTCTCAGCTGGCTCCTTGGCTTCGTAGAAACTGATAAACTTATCACGTGGTGGTAATACTTAACTTGGTCTCAGTGGCAGGATATTTGCTTTCCAGATCACCATAGTTCTTATTACTTAAACAACTGAGTTTTTTGTTCTTAGACTTGCCTATGCGGGACCTGGGCTGGTTAGCTGGATTTTCTTACCTCAATTTTAAGAGTTTGAAAATATTCATACATGTATATTTAAATGATAAAGTACATTAATTTGTATTTTTATTACTGTCAAATTCACGCAGAATCACCTTTATTTCTTAACCTTTTTGTGTTTTGTTTTGTTTTGTTTTTCTAATAATAGAGTCCAGTGGAAATAAACGATTTAGACCCTGAGGTTTTTAAAGAAATGATGAGATTTGTTTATACAGGGAAAGCACCAAATCTTGATAAAATGGCTGAAAACTTGTTGGCAGCTGCAGACAAAGTAAGTAACTGGATTTTAAAGGAAAAATGTCTTCAGTCTTGATGTATATAGAAACTATCATATAATGAAAACTACAAGTAACTTTTGCAGCATTGTTAATACATACTATTTGTGGATGGCTGTATGGAAATGAAATCATTTTTAAAAAATCAAGATATGAAAGTATGTTGAATCAGGAAGAGATGTTTTTTTCCTGTGGAGGATTTAACTTAAATAAGATCAGTTATTTGCAGACATATTTATTGTCGTCTTTCTCTAAAATACACATTTGAATATAAATTGTATAACAATTTTCACATAGTCTTAAGGTATATTTCATGATCATTGCACAGAAAGGAAAATCAGTATTAATAAAGAATGCTAATCCCAATTAGAAAGAAATAGTATTGTTTCTAAGAGTAGACAAATTACTTGAGTAGACAAAGTTATTTCCCTAAATTAAATCCAATGAAGTCCGTTAAAGATGCCCAACATCATTAGGGAAATAAAACTTCAAACTATGATGATAATACCTCTCCATGCCTGTCATAATGGCTTAAATTACAAAGACAGTATTGTCAAAGCTGTGGGAGACTTCTGTTGCTGAGAAGAGTGAATGGTTATAGCCACTTTGGGAAACTTAAGTTTCTTTAAAAGTTAAATATAAACTTAGCATATACTCTGTTGAGTCTACTGTTAGGCATTTACCTCCACTCTCCCCAGAAAAAATAGCAAACATAATGCCCACTTAAAACTTATGTGAATATCTATAACATCTTTATAGTAGGTAAGAACTGGAAACAAAAGCCCCATAAAAATAAATGAATAAAAGAAGAAATACATGAAGTTATCAGAAAAAAAGTGATGGGGAGATATGGGAGGAGTTGGAGGGGAGGGAATGGGCATGAATTTGGTAAACACCTTATATACATGTATGAAATTCTCAATAAATTATTTATGTAAACAAAAAAAACTGGAAACAAATGTTCATCAGTGGGTGAATGAATATATATTTAATGGCACACTAGTGAACAGTAAGAAGGACTGAACTATTGATACACAAGCAGTGGCATGCATCTACCTAAAATAGTCACACTGAGAGGTAGAGCCAGACAGAAATGAGCACATATTGTTTGATTGTATTTATAGAAAACTTCAGAAAAATACAGGTTAATCTGTTAGTAGTGTATTACAGGTATTACCTGGGGTGGTGTGCGAAGGAAAGACTTCAAAGGGTTATTTACTATCTTGGGTAGATGATGGGTTTATGGCTATATTAAATTATCATTGTAAAAACTTTATAAATACCTGTTTTCTTGTTCTATGTCATTATACCTCAATAAAGCTGATAAAATGTTAGACCAATAATTGCAAAAAAATTTATTGGTTATGAGTATGATTTATTGAGCTTTCAATGAAGTCATTTTTTAAAAATTTAATAGTTGATGAATACAATATAGTGTGTGGTATATGGTAAGTGTGAAATAGGGGAAAAGAAAAATGACTAAAGTAGAGAGCTGGCAGGTATGAGCAGGAAGGAGGTAGGTGCATCCAGACTGGGTACATAGGGAGCTAGCTAGACTGATGTGAGTGTGGTCTCCTGGTTGTTAGGATGACCTTTTGTGGTCCAATATCTTTAAAGCTATAGCTGGGTTCTTCCTACAAGAGCAGAAATTGAGGTACTAGGGTACTTTTTACAATGGTGTATGCTCATATGCTCACCAGTGAGGACCCTAATATGCAGAGAAATTAAAACTATACAGATTTTTTTTAGGCAGGGTCTCCCTGTAGTCCCAACTAGCCAGAACTTCTTAATATAAACCAGGCTCATCTTGATCACAGAGATTTGCCTCCCTCTGCCTCCAGAGTGTTGGGACTAAAGGCATGTGCCACCACACCCTGCATGTAGGGACATCTTGACCCCAGAGTATGCACAGTGAAGTGTGATGAAGTAAAGGTCCTACCCAAGGGGAGGAAGTTAACAATGAGATCACAAGAGGTAAGGGACTGCAAAAACCTTAAAAATCCATAATGCAAAACCCAGTGGACTGCTCTTACATTTCCTCTGCTTAGGGACAGTCAAATCTCTCTGTGGCATGTATACTTTGCTTTTTTTTTTTTGTTTGCTCTTTGGGATTTGTTTAGTTTTAGTTTTTATTTGTTTGTTTTTTGAAACAGTCTCCCTGTAACCCCAGTTGACTGTGTAGACCAGGTCAACCTGGATCTCCCAGAGATCTGCCAGCCTCTGCCTCTGCCCCTGGAGTGCCAGGATTAAAGGTGTGTGCCACCACACCTGGCCTTGCTTTGCTTTTTTGTGCTGAATAAATTTCAGTTTAAATTGTCTCTGAGCTGAGTTCTTTCCTTTGAGAACACAAGAACAAAGATAAACTTTAATCTGGTAACTTACTCATCAGGATCCCTGAGTAATAAAGCAACTTTAGAATATAAATCCTCCTTTAAAATTCACCATATTTGTATTTTTGCCAATTGAAATTTTCTAGTGCAAATTATTAGTCTTTATCCTAAATGCATTCATTCACATTTTAGTCATAAGTTTAAGTGATGACTTAATGATTTTAAATAACCTTAGTTCAAAACAAATTTGGCTGAATTTTGTCTTCTAAGTTACAAATATGTATTTAAACACTTAATAAGTGGAGTAAATATTTAATCATATTTTTCTTTTGGGTAGTATGCACTGGGACGACTGAAGGTCATGTGCGAAGAAGCTTTGTGTAGTAACCTCTCAGTAGAAAATGTTGCTGATACCCTTGTCCTTGCAGATTTGCACAGTGCAGAGCAGTTGAAAGCACAAGCAATAGACTTTATTAATAGGTAAGCTGTACTTGTAATTCATTGATTTAAATTTTTTAAGATTTTTTCACCTGGCTTTCTTTTAACCCTGTTTAAATCTTCAATTCAGGTGCAGTGTACTTCGACAACTTGGGTGTAAGGATGGGAAAAACTGGAACAACAAGTAAGATGGCATCAGTTTCTGATCTGTATAAGGGAAACTATTTGCATAGCCTTTTCCTCATGTACATTTAGTGTGGCTCCAATGTTGCCCATATGAAACAAACTGCCAGTTATTAAAAAATAATCTGATCACTTTTAATGAATTACTACTCCCATTATAGATCAGCTTTCCATGCAAATTAGAATGGGTGCTCTAATTTCTTAAACACATATATACATTGAGTCTAAGTATCTTAAGGCTACTAGAAATCTAGCCTTGATCACTTCAGAAGCATTCAGAGAAGTCTACGAAATAACTCATTTAATCTAATGAAGACAACACCCTCCAGATTTGTCTTGAAAGTCTTTACTTTTATTTTGTTTTTGACAATATTGCAGATTGAATCCAGGGAACTTGCACATGCTAGGCAAATACTGTACCACAAAGCTACCTGCATCCCAGCCTTTTAAAGATTTTTATTTTGAGGCAAAATCTTAATTTTTCTAGGATAGCCTTAAACTTGTCTCTTGCCTTAGCCTTCCAAGTAGCTAGAACTATAGGCTAGGACTTCACAGACCCTGTGAACGTCATTACTTTCTTTCTTTGTTGAGGTTTTTATTTGTTTGCTTGTGTTTGAGTCAAGGTCTTGCTGCGTGCGGTCTAGGTTGTTATCAAACTCAGAATCCTTATGCATCTACCTCAAGTGCTAACTTGATACCGCTTAGATTAGCCAAGCACCTTGCATTATAAGTTAGATTAAGCTGCCTAATATTATAGTGACAGCAGCAAGTTGATTGCTAAGAGGTTGGGTGGTTGCTAAATGGACACAAAGTATAGAAATATTATTTTGTACTTTTTTCCTTCATACAGTAGTCTTTGTTTTTGAAATAAAAGGGGTAAGAGTTGATAAGTTGAAGATTTTATGTAAGGACAGTGTTAAAGAGAGTTTGCTCACTTTTTTTTTTTCTCATTGCATTTATCTATTTGATATGTATGTTGTGGGTTACCTATTAGTTTGTGAATTTTGATTTCTAGAAATAAAATATATCAAGTAGTTTTAAATGTATGGTTACCTCCCAAAACTAAGCTTTACTTTTACTCTGTTAAGAAAGTACATTGTGTAACTTTCTTGATATTAAAAATATTAGATTATTTTATATACTCTAAAGAAATTGTGTTACTTATATAACTTTTCAATAGTTATTTATTGAATCAATAAACTAAGAGGTTCAAGTATATAATAGATATCTATGTGATTCTAAACAACTAGTTGAAATTTTAAGCATAATGATGGCACAATAGTAATTTGATACAAAGTGAAAAGCTTGCATGAAACAAAGTATAGAAGTGTGAAAAGGTTCTTGATTATTAATTTGATAGGCTCTTTTATTTAGTGAGTTTTCAAGGTATCACTGCTTAGTACAGAGAATATAGTGGCAAGTACAACAGATGTTTCCCTTATGTACAAGTATGGTATATAGCAGATTAATTAAACAAATAATTGCAGTAAAGTATTGAACTAGTTTTATTAGGCAGAGAATACCTTTGTAAAGAATTATGAAAATAAGGTCTAAAGTGTTGTTAGCAGCTACGCTGGTAAAGAAAAGATGGTCAGTGTATCACAGAAAAGAAAAAAAACGATGTGTGAAGTAGGTGGATAATGAGAAAAAGCTAGAAAAAGCAAGCAAGGTTCATATACTGCATAATTGTGCAGGATTGGGACTTCAGGAGGTGAGGGGTCAAGAGTACCTCTGAGTCTCCAAGTCAGCACCACTGAGGTGAGGCGAAAAGGCTTAACATTTTTAGCATTCTTTCTGTGTGCAGGTTAGAGACTAGATAGAGGGAAGTTGGAGTAGGGTCGGTACTAGAGAAACAAGGTCAAATTCAAGTAGATGAATACAGAGAAGAGAAAAGGAAAGGACGAGCTAGCTAGATTTGTTGCTCATTTAGAGCATGTTGTATTTATAGAATACAATGAATAAAGCAAACAAAGAGGACGCCAAGGCGTGGAAGTGGGAGTGGCAAGCTGTGTGAGGAAGGAGCCGCATTTCTTCACTAAAAAACTATAGAAAGGTGTACAGTGAAACACAGTACGACATAGTCTTCTCTATGTTTGCAGCATTATGGGAGCTGGACTGAGAAAAACAAATTCTAGACTAAACAATAAATTATGAAAAAGTTATAACAATCCAATTGTGAGATTATGAAGACCTCATTTAGATACGATCAACATCTCTTGGAATTAAATAGGACTTTTGTGATTAATTAGAGGACAGGCTCCAGGATGGCTCCCAGGCTTCTACCTCAGATCACTGAGTGACAGTGAAAGCTTCAACTGAAATGAAGAACGAAGAAATTGAATTTGAGGAGGAAGACAATAAGTCTTATTTGATGGTACTAAATTTGTGAGCCTTGAGTTTATTTAAATAAAAAGCAGGTGATTAATTATGACTCTTATGGAAGAGCAGTAGGATTTAACATATGAGTTATCTGTTGAATGTGATTATTACAGTTGTGAATAGTGGATGCAATAGAATGAATAATATAGTAAAAGGAGACAAGCATAAATTAAATATTGGAACTCTGGAGAAAACTTGCCTTTAAGAGGCATGTATAAGAAGACAAAGAATCTCTTCAAATAGTTAGTGCAGATATGCTTAATGACTAGATTAGAACTGTGGGGATCTGGGTACATACTGCAGGGCTCACACAGAAAAATTTGTTTCAGTTGCATCAGAAAATGCTAATAAGATAAAGATTGAAATGAGTACGTGGAAAGAGATATAGGACTGTCCAAATGTTTCAAAATTCACAAATTAAAAAAATAAACCAATGACTCAACAATGCATTTTGAGAAATATCCTTTTAGCAAACTTCCCTTAATTGTGTTTTTCAGCCAAGCAACTGACATAATGGAGACCTCGGGTTGGAAGTCCATGGTTCATTCTCACCCTCACTTGGTAGCAGAAGCCTTCCGAGCACTAGCGGCTGCACAGTGTCCACAGTTTGGTATTCCACGCAAACGGCTAAAGCAGTCCTGACTCTTCAGTGGACAGAGGAAAACGGAATGACACTCTCCTTGGTCCAGAAGGATTCTGATACACAGACAATAAGCAACAGCCGTTTCTGTTTCCTTGTCCACACAGCAGAAACTGGAAAAGCAGATTGCTTACATAGCAGGTGGATAATATACGATTTATACTTCAGCTTTAAATTAGACTGATTAATTCACTTCAAGGCCTTAAATTATCTTCAATGACTTGTTCCTATAATAGTTTAATTTTTTTATTGTGCCTTGTCATTTTGGCCAAGGCTATGCAGGATTGCACTAGCTCCATAATGCAGTAATATTGATAACTGAGGATACTAAGTTTTAAAAGGGTCTTCTGTTACTTTGGGGGGAAAAATGAATTATTTTAGGGTTGTCCTATGTGATCTTAAAGCTCAAAACTAGGTTCTTCTTGTAAGCACTTGTATTGCAGATTACCAGATTTCTCCAGTCTAAGTTCTAAAAATGAAAGAGCGTTGTTTACTTTAAAGGTTATGGCAATACACTGCTTCAATTTAGTTTATTTTTTGTTTGAGAGGGCAGATATGCAATAAATTGGATATTATTGAATATGCAATTTATTGGATATGCAATAAATTGGCCCAAACTTTCAGTAAAATTTATGATGTTTTTATGTTAATTGCTTCAAGCTTTCTGCTTGTTTATAATGATTGAGAAATGATTATAAAATTTCAGTAAGAAAAAAGCATGTTTTTGCTAAAGTAATCTTAATTCATAACCTACATTTATATGAAGAATTCATTACCTGTTAAAAGTCAGGATGACCAAATGTACATTTAATGACTGGGCCAATTAAGAAAGATACATATGCACTTTTATTGTGTAGCTTTTGTATACTGGATGGTACATATATTGTTTCTCCTTTTGAGGGGATTAATAAGGTAGAATTATGTTTTAACTTTTAGAAGAGATTTTAAGACACATGGCAACCACCTAGGATACTTTTGATAATGGATAAAAATATGCTTGATTTGGACTTTAGATAGTCATTTTTTAATTTATTGCTTTTTTAATCATACCTTGGAAAAGGCACCTAAAGAATAATTGAGTCTGGACAATCTACTTTTCCTTTGAACAATAAATGGATATCATTTGCCTGTGGGCAGCACACAGTAAAGGAGAGAGCCCTCTTCAAAATATGCCAGGCCGTATTATGAAACTGTTTTCTCCTTTGTGTTTCAGTTATTGTGCTGACCTTGAGGATGATCGAAATTCCGTACAATGTGAACAGGATAAACTGTTTATAAACTTTTTCACAAGCCAATTCTTTATTATAAATTAATTTTAGCTTTAAACACACACAAATGCTTAGTGTTTGATACCTGTGAGTTCTGTTCTGGTGCATTGTCCTGGAGTGGTCAGTGTCAGATTGCCACATGCAGTAGCATTGCTAGTGTGCTTCTTACACAGATCTATGTTGGACCACAAGGAAAAAGCATGTCACTGGAAAAACAGGTGCATAAACCTGGATACATAACTTAATTCTCCAGGTTTGTGTGTAATTTGTTCATTTAGTTTTAAAATTGAGGGTAGAAATTAAAAATTACACTTACAGTTTTTAAATACATTTTATTTTTGCTATATTTTTAACTTGAAGCAATTCTAAAATATTTACATTGAGAAAAATTGTCAAGCATTAGTTGTCGATAGCAAACACGTTTGTAAAGATCATATTTTCAGATATCTTAGTTTGAGTCTTTATTGTAGTAACTTAAATTTAAAATAGGAAGACTTACTTGGACTAGAAGAAAAATGTTTAGGTGGCAGGGGGGGTGTGAAAAAACATGACAAGTAGAAATTCACTTCCTTAATTCTACCTTAATATGGAACCTGTTAAATTTACATTGTACAGTATAAAAACACACGTGTGTGTATGTTTTTAGTGTGAAAATTTCCATGGTCTTATTAAATTAATACATTTTTAATTAGAAAATTTCCATGGTCTTATTAAAAACAAAAATTCAGTCCAGCTATGGAATTATGCTTTTACATATCATAAAAATAATGATGTCTGTGTATGACACAGTGTGAATTAACTCACTGCTTCAGTCTACATTTCTAACTACAGTGAATTAAATTCTTCAGCTTGCCTTTACTCAAGTGTTTATTGATAATTTTCAGGATTTGTTAACACAGTTTGTACCAAAACTGTTAAACACTGTGCTCTATGAATATCTGTGTTTGTAGAAATGTTCACTTTTCAGAAAATATAATGCCTGCCATTATACTAACAGAATCATATAGTGGTTGATTTATTTTTATTTATTATATATTTTGGTAGTATGGGTTTTTGAGGAAGTGATAAAAGGCTGTTTATTCCTATCAGGGTGCTCTAACAGCCTTTTCTCATTTTAAAATTATATCCATTTGGTTAAAAGTAAGCTCAGTTTCTGTCTAATCTTCATTACCAGCTTGCTCCTGTTACTCTTTGGACACCTAAAAAAGGCTTTCCCCAGAATGATTTTAAGCATTGAAATTCAGAAAGATCACCATTGCAGAACCTACTTTAAGATTTAGAAACACTGCTCACTCTATGTGTCTTTTTCATTTTTAAAAATTTTTAATGTGTTTTATATTTGGAGCACAAATATGAAGGTGCCATAGTATGGCTTGCTAACATTACCTCCTTAAATGCTCATGTGTTTTTGTCTTCAAATAGTAATTGGAGAACCTTGCATGAATTATATGGTCATTTGAGTGAAGTTTGTATGAATGTGTATATCTCTGTATTTACTTGGGCTGTGTGTGGTATGCTCAAAAGAGTGGATTTCTGAAAATAGAGCTTAGCATTTAAGCTCAAAGTTCAGGTTAGTTGAAGTATCTCATTTAAGTGTACTATATTTGAGGGAAGACTAGATTGCCAGAAAAAAGTGTAATCCTAAAGAAATGTGACCAGCTTACTACATGGTGAAATATGAAAACAGTGCCTTTTTAGAATGTTAGTTATAATTCAGTTATATTTTCAAATCTCTTAATAGCTGTCATGAACATTACTGTTTGACTTTTAAAGTATATTGAACTGAGAGCTTAAATTGTCAAAAATAGGATTATTAATTTAATTTATCAGTTTAAAATTTTGTACATAAGTTTAAATTCTAAGCAGATTTTTAAAAAATAAATTGTCAATAAGGACTGTGAGTGAAGCTCAGTCATAGGCTGCTTAGAAGATTTATGAGGCCCTCAGTTAGATTGCTAGTCCACAACAACAGAAACAAAAAACATCTGGATCATGGAGACACCCAGTGTTTCAAAAATATAACATGGACTTTGATAAGTCTGTGAAAATCCAACTCAGCATACTTTGATATTAGCCACATAAATTTAAAGAGGTAAACTCATGGATAAAATGAAAATATTCATTGTATTCTTGAAAGGTGCATAAGTGAGTGTGTGGGTTTGCTATAGTGTCCTCAGAATATAGACAGCACTTTGAGCACACATGAGAGTATTTTGCAAACCATTTTTATATGCAGATTATGAGTTCTGCTTTATTTGTGGAATGATATAAATTGTAGGTCCAATTGAACAAATACTGAGTGCCTATAAATGCAAGACTTTTTCACTAGGAATGAAAGCACACTGTGTCTTTGTTGGTAGTATGTGAACGTTATGTTTGAAAAGGAATACTTATATATAAATTTTTTGTTATTAGAGCTTACTGAATAATATAATTTTGCATTTTTTAAAATGAAGCATAATTGAGTTCCAAATATGGAAATAGAGTTTGGCTAAAATTATTTTAACTATTAATTCTGAAGAAAGTTGGCTTTCTAGATCGAAATGTATAAATACTTAACTTTTCAGCCTTGTTTTTAATCAGTTGACATTTTTGATGAGTTACATACTATTTGTATCCTGATGCTGGAAGTATATTTTGCATTTCAACACACTGGGTTAAAATAAAATTGTTACTACTTATTCAGAATTTGCTTATTTTGTGTTTGAATCCTCTCTAAGTCTCTTTCAGATTAGTGTGTTGTTTGAATATGAAAATCTAATATTTCATAGTGTCTTTTATTCTTTTTTGTTTTCTTCACAATTTTTAATAGTTACTTCTGTCAAAAAAAGCAAACATGGGGCAGAATAATCCTAAACCAACTTAGTAACAGTAACACAATAGTGTATGTTGTGATCATGATATCAGCCAGAAGGACACAGTGGAAATCTCCCATGTTTACTCAACTCATTCGTACACATGCACTAAATTCTCCTTAGGATTGCAAAATATAAAACATTTCCTATCCAAGTATAGTAAAATAAGACAAAGAGGTTGGATCCCAGACTTTACAAATGAACTCTGTGGAGCCCTTTCCCTCCTACTCTGCAGCACTCTTCTTACTTAGTACTTTGCTTTAGAATATTGAGATGAATGTTCCTCTGCCTTCCACCACAGAGTCATTTGTTTAAAAGGCCAAAAGTAACATTGCTTCCATTGCTGTTTTTACATAAAAGACATTAGAAGTCATTCACAAAACATGGGGATATATTGGGCTTTTGTTGTTTTTTGTTTTTGTACCAAAAAAGTTTCATATATCTGCACTACCAGGAAAGATTTTATAGATAGATATGTATACACGCACATGTATATGTAAACACACACATATATACATACATGTAACTGGGTATTGATAATAATGAAGTTGATATTTCTGTTGTGGTACTATTCTATTTTTCCTTTTGTCTCAACCATATCCACTTTTTTTTTTTTGGTCAGGGATTCAGATATAGTTTGTGCTAGTCTGTGATATAATGGGCAAACAATTCCTTATATATTTAACCTTTTCCTCAAATTCAAACTAGGGACTAATAGATTTAGCAGAAGAAAAAATTGAAATGATTCATGAACAGAGATTACCCACACAAGCAAATCAACCAGTGCCCAGAGGGGTCTCATTGTCCCATTGTGATATGCAGGTTTTTTTGGAGTGTATACTTTTCAAGGTTCTACAAGTGTGGGAGTCAATGCAAATTGAATGGGCAAACATGAAAAATGAAAATCGTATGCAATTGAAAAGAAATAAATTTACATACATCAGTACGTTAAGTGTACTGTGGAAGCTGTGCTGAACAACTTTCTTTATGGTAATAAAGTATAAATGGCTTGAGTTTTCACAAACTTTTTTTTATTTTCTTCAAAAAAATGCAACTTTGTTTCTATCTGGCTGTCACCCGAAAGAACCTTTGACTCTGAGGACAGACTGGGCAGGGTTTTTGTTTTGTTTTTTATAATTTATTGAGAATTTCCTACAGGCATATAAGGAGTTTTGATCAAATCCATGCCTACTTCCTACCCTCCAACTCTTCCCATATCTTCCCATCTCTTTTATCTGATGACTTCATATACTCTTTTTTCTTTTTTTATGGGGCTTTTTGGTACTCTGACATTCCCCCCTCTGAAGAGGTAACCCTAAAATCTTTTAAGGATTAGATAAAAGCTCCCAAATACTTTCCACATCTTTGGTCTTTGGAACAGAGTACGTTGCTAAGAGGCCCAAGGACATTGTGAGTTTTAGCCAAGAAACTGGCTACTTTTCTTTGGGGTCTTTTTAACCTAACTGCCGAGCCAGTTCCTACCTCCTATTATCACACCATCCTCTGAAGAGTTTACCCAACTTGCAGATAGGGAATTGAGTAGCATACTGCTCTGGCTTCCTCCATCCTGAACAGGGAGGGACTCAAGGTGAGGCAACTGGGGTACCCTTTCAATGCATCTATCTAAAAGACTCCTAAGTTTCATAACTCTTTTTCTTTTATGAAGGAGAAGTAAAGGCAAGAATAATTAGTATTATAAATTCTAGACGGGGAACTAGAAAAAAGTCAGAGCAGGGCAATTTTCAAATATTCATATGAGGGTCCATTGGAATTTCTTGACAAGGGCTTCCAAAGCATCCCTCTATTGGGATCCTCCTCGTTTTCTTTTGTCTGCTAAGGCTGGACTTGAGTGATGGATTCAGGATTTGCTTTCAGTTATTTTGATAGTTGTTGGAATGGTTAGAATCAGTGTCAGTTCCCTCTGAGAGGCTTCTAGATAAGAGAAAAATTTATCCATCATTTTAGAACAATAGCGGATTGTCTCCCTTAGTTACAGGTGGGCACTACAGTATTGCAGACCAAGATTGGAAGTCTTACACTGAGCAGCACTTTCTGATTAGGAACAAAATCATCAATGAGAAATAATTATTTAACTTTTTATATGGACTCATGCCTAATGTGTGGGAAATATAATCCATTGAACTCTTAAAGAAATATACTGACGACTTTACTATTTTAGTTATACTTTTCCTTTTGGGTATTTAAGCCATAGAGTTGGCCCAAATAAATCAATTTATTTTTACACTTAAGGTCATTTGAGGATCTGTAGCTCAGGGGCCACATGGGCTGGGGAGGAGCCTCTGGCTCCTCTTCTTTTACCAGTTAAAAGCCCTGTTTGACCATGTCTGGATTCACTTGGAAGCATGGATAAGATGATTCCTCTGAGTTGACCCTCCTCTTTGTAGACTGGACACTGGTACAAGTCCATCTCATGGAGTCTCCATGGCCTCCTTGAATAAGAGGACAGGTGACTCACCACATTCACAGGACATTTTGAGAGATGTTCCCTAGTCCCCTGGAACTTAGTCAACCTTGGCGGGCAAGGGGCAAAAACTGTCTTTTAAGTCCCTTTGACCAGATTAGTATAGGCCTCAAAGTATGTCTGTTAAACATCCAAGAAGGTTAGTTTCACCAGTTTGGTACTTTTAATTACTATGTGCTTTGTAGATAAAACTTGGGGAAAAAAACAGTGTTTTCAGACAATCCTTGACTGGATATATATTTTGTTCTTTAAACTAGTTGACTAAACTATTACTTTGGAAATTTTAAGATTATGTTTATATTATTTTTGTTTCATCCTTTATATATCATAACAAACCTACACAGACCTTCATCACTTGCTTAGGCTTTCTTCCATCTATTTTGGAAAACATCTCCATTTCCATATCCATTTAACATCTTACATTCTCTTTTTCTTTTTTTAATAATTATGAGTCATAATAACATTAACAAATTTTCCATCTGTGTTGAGAATTATTTTCCTGTGGATACTAAGCAATGCTTATTCCCTTTTAAGGTTCTAGTGTTAAGCCAGTGTCTGAATAAAATTTTACTGGGGTACCAATGAGTTTACTGAGCTTACCAAGATAATGAGGGGTTGCTGAGGTGTTTGTATGACCTGAGGATATGCACACTGGAAAGCATTTACCTAGCATGGGTCATGCCTTCTCTTCCTAGCCTTCCCCAGATTATATACTATAGCCCTCCACAAATCCAGGAGATGATGTGTGATTAGGGCCAAATTACATACAGTTGGCTGGGAAGAGTGGATGGATACTCTGGTGAGGATCCAAAGACCCTGCTTGGCCCTCCTTTAATGAATGAGCACAACCATCACCAAGCCCAATTGTGATGATGTTTAGCAATCAGGCTCAGCTGAAGTTGTGATGATTGTAGTTACTTCATGAAGAAGGGACTGCTGTATAGCATCATCTTAATAAAAGGACATGGAATTTAAAAGGATTTGGTGCTAGGAGCCACATATGAGGGAGAACATACATCGTTTGTTTTTCTGAGTCTGTGTTACTTCATTTAGTATAACATTTTCTAGATGCATCCATTTACCTGCAGATTTCATTATTTCATCTTTCTTTACTGCTGAATAGAACTCCATTTTGTAAATATACCACATTTTTGTTAACCACTCGTCAGCTGAGGAGCACTTAGGTTGCTTCCATCTCTTAGCTGTTGTGAAAAGAGCAGCAACGAACATGGTTGTACAAGTGTCTCTACAATAGGATGAGTCCTTTGGGTATATGCCAAAGAGTGGTAACCGGGTCATATGGTAGGTTCATTTTTAGTTTTTCAAGAGTCCTCCACACTGTTTTCCATAGGGGTTGCATGAGTTTTCAATCGAACCAGCAGTGAATGAGTGTTCACTTTCTCCACATCCTCGCCAGCCTTTGGTATCATTTACTTCTCTTGATCCTAGCCAGTCTGATTGGGGTACAGTGATACCTTAGGGTGGTTTTAATTTGCATTTCCATAATTACTAATGATGTTGAGCACTTTTTGAGAAGTTTCTTAGCCATCTTTATTTCTTCCTTTGAGAACTCTGTTTAGAGCTTTAGCCTATCTTTTAATTGGGTTATTTGGTTTCTCAATTATTGTTTTTGGAGTTCTTGATCTATTCTGGATATTAAACCCCTGTCAGATGTGTCACTGGTATAGATTTTTTCCCATTCTGTGGGTTTTCTCTTCATTTTTTTGATTCTTTTCCTGTACAGAAGCCTTTTAGTTTAATGAAGTCCCACTTGTTGATTGCCGATCTTAATTCCTGAGCAACTGCTGTCTGATTTAGAAAATCCTTTCCTACACCTATAGCTTGTAAGTTACTGCCAATATTTTCTTCTAATAGTGTCAGGGTTTCCAGTTTTATGTTGAGGTCTTTGATCCATTTGGAGTTGACTTTTGTACAAGGTGAAAGATAAGGATCTAGATTCATTCTTCTACAGGTGGAGATCCAGTTTTGCAGCACCATTTGTTTAAGATGCTGTCTTTATTGTGTGTTCTTGGCATCTTTGTCAAATATCAGTGGCTGAAACTGCGTGTACTTGGGTTTGGGTCTTCAGTGATGTTCCATTGATCTATTTGTCTATTTTTGTGCTAGTACCATCCTTTTTTTATGACCTAGCTCTGTAGTATGCTTTGAGATCTGGTATTGTAATCCCCGCAGTGTTGCTTTTTGTGCTCAGGGTTGCTTTGGCTACCTGGGGACTTTTGTGCTTCCATGCGTATTTGGATTTTTTTTCTAATTCTGTGCAGTATGTCATGGGGATTTTGATTGGGACTGCATTGAATCTGTATATTGCTTTTGGTAGGATGGCCATTTTC